ATTTGTATCCATTAAAAATATTTACACGCAGTTTTACTGAAATCTACTGCAAGCACTTGGAAATATGGTAAATTCTCTGCCTTTTCTTTTATTTCATGCTCTTCAATTTTTTTCTCTAACTGTGCCCTCTTTTCTTCCTAAAACAATCATATTAACCATAATAATAAAAATTATATTTAAGTTCGACATACTCTTTGCTTAAGCTTTGTTTCTTCTTGTTGGAATTTTTGAAGTGTTCCAAGTAAGGCCCCAAACATCCGCCTATTTCTCTCTTTTGATTTAACATCTTTACTTTGAGCTGCTAGAGCTTCTTGTCTGCTAGGGACTTCTCGAGGGGTAACAATGACTTTACTAATAAGTCCTTTTTGAGCTTGAGACAGCTCTTCATAGGGAGTAGGTTTCTCAGATAACCTCTTAAACACCGATTCTTTTTTACGTTTAACTGTGGGTTCATTATTTTCTAAATTTACGTTTCTAGTTTTATTGCCTCTTAACCTGGCACGATCATCATTTAAAACTCGCTTATTTCCTGGTCGATTAACGAATTCGGAAGGATCGCGTCCAATTAACCTCTTAATGTTTTCGTCAACCCCTTTCAGGCTGCTCCTGGCTTGTTCCAGTTCAGACTGAAGGGCTCCAAATGATTTTAGTATTTCCGTGCCCATAACTAGATATTAAACCAAGTTGTACTCCAATAATGTGTTACATTTAATCAATTTTTCATTACTTTTTTAAATGGATTACACTGACATTGACATTTCTTCGGTATTTTAAAAAAGAAACTCTACCCTATGTATATCTATTATCTATGAACTCTACGGTCTACGAACATACGAACTCCATAAACAGACAGCATAACCAACATTAATCAATGACTAAATAAAATCCCAATGTAGTGTAGTGTTACCACAACCGCTTACGAAATTTAGCGCTTAATTTGAATTTAATTTTTGTGTTTGTTAAATTAAGAACGTTAAAATGGGAACATTTAAGATATATGGTTTTAAAAAACATTAGCTAACATGCTTACATAGATTTAGGGTTTTAAAGTATTGATTCGTATATTTAAGGTACCAATGACCGAAAT